AGACGTTTGTTATCTAGGAAGTATGAGAAGGAAATGATAAGGTGTGAAAGGTCATTTTCTCTGTGCTATCCAAGAGTCGCTCCTGGTAGCGATGTGGTGATCACTCTCCTGGTCAGTGTGTGCAGTGCTAGGTCTCTGGACTGAAACCTGTTTGCGTGAATCATGTCGATGGACTGGAGGTAACTCTACGATCACTTTATCCTCGCTTCTGTGCAAAGTCTGTCAAGACTGTCAATTGTGATAAGAGATCTGTGATGTCTGTACTTGCCCACTAGGTAGTGAATTGATATAAATGTAATTGTAGTGGTTACAGGCCATTTACTAGCCTTCTGATTCTTTGTTGACCGATGCTATTTAACATATGGTGCAATCATCAATAACGTCCCTTCTCACCTGCTGCGTAGCTTTACTAGTCAGTTGTGTTCATCTTTTTGGACAAAGAAAAGTGAAGAAAATCATCATGAGATAGTTTTAACTGATTCCATTAAACAGTTGTGCTGTGCTTTGCAAATACATAAATTATTTTATCTTTGAAGGTGCTTCATTGCAGTTGGTTAGGTAACTGTCTGCTGTCCTAAGTGTACTAAATATTGTATTTACATACTGATTGGAAACAAGGCTGTCTTCAGAATATCCCTAATAATTGTCTTGCAACTTTCACATCAGGAAGAAAGGAATCTAAGCTTAGTACAGTTAGCCATTCACCCGAAGAGAAGTCTAGCCCTTTGTATAAGACTGGCAAGAAGGAGAGCCTAGATGAACACCTAGGTAAGGAATAAAACCAGCTGCTAACCAGAGCTCATATAATGATAGTGCAACTGCAGTTTCTGTATTTGAGTAAGTGCCTTTTTTCCTCTACTCCTATTTCCACCACCTGATTATTTACTATGATTCAAATTTTCCCTCAGTGGTTTTGTGCCTTGAGAGCTGATATTTTACTTCTAAACCAAAAGGAAGAAGTTACTCTACATAGATCAGTTCACATCTCAGTTCAAAAGATACAGTAACACCTGTGAATTGATGCTGCTTGAAACTGCTAATTCTGGCTAAAGACTGATACTGCGCTTAGACTGATGAAGCGCGAGGACCTTCATACACTTAATATGCCGTCACCACTACTATTTTAATTTGTGTGTTGCCATGCGTCTTTCCAAATGTCTTCTTGTTGTGTGTTTTATTTGATTTCCATGTGTCTGAGGTGAAATACTGAAGTTACGTCAGAGCTTGGGAAACGTTTTCATAACAATCAACAGCTCCGTTTTCAAAAGAGTTTGGGAAAAATTTTAAAAGATGTTCAGGCACTTCAAATACTGTAAAAAATAATCCGGCACTTGGGATATGAAGGCCTGTTGACTTAAGAGCCTAATTCAAGTTGGTGCTTATTGAAAACTTTACATCACATCTCATGTACTTATGTGCTGTGAGGTTTTAATAATTTTGTAGCTGAAAAAAACCATCTGGATTCCATTAAATTTCTTTCTACATGGAGAGCCTTAACTGATCCTGTAATTTTTTTGCAAGAATTGCGTATTTATTTTATGGGCTGAAGTGGCACTAAAATGACCAGACACACCACATTTTATAGGATCATCTCTTCTTTAAGATCAGTGTCCAATTGTTCTGATTAGTGAAATATGGTTTGCCATTTATCTGTGTTTTGACTTTAAGGTAAATGTTTTGAAATACTCCTCTTTTCACGATGCAGCAGGCCAATGCACTCAAATTTCCGTTTACGTAAATGATAAATACTTTGGGGCACTCGCCCTCTTTTTGCTCTAACATAGAGGAGCTGTGATAGATGAGTAACGGGCATATGTGCTGCAGTAAATAGTCCAAACTAAAAACCTTTTGGAGCTATGCTGATGCCTGTTGTATATTGTTCTCTATAATTACTATTGATGATGAGCAGAGCTTTTTATACTTTCTAAATATTAAATTGAGATAAATAAATGCGTAACAGGAGAACGGAAAGAGGTTATTGTCATGACTAAGCCTGTGAATGCCAACTCACCTATTGTATATGCAAAACTGAAGTGGAGAATGGAGGATTAGTAAAGCAAAAATAATTACCATGGTAGCAAATATATTTAAAACAGGTTAAACCAGCATTTGCTCATCACTTTGTGTTAAGAGCAAATTTCTAGTGATATTGGAACAGATACATACATACACACATACATACACATCTCTGTGTGTGTGTGTGTATATATATATATATATTTATTTATTTATTTATAGTTAAAACTATTCCTACTCAAGTAGGCAATGCTTTCATAGTTGCAACATGCCTTACAACAAAATTAATCATGCAGTAGAGACTACTATGATAGTTGAAAACTTGATTTATAGATTGAATGTGTGTTTTTATTATCTCTTTAACATAATTACCTTAATTGAGATCTGAACAGCTTTCCTTTAAGACACAGAACATTGTGCCTCTTAAAATAGTGAGCCACTCTTCTGTAGAGGTAACGCTTGCTCTGTGTGTGGTGTGTGTGTGTGTGTGTGCGTGTGTGTGTGTTAATGAAATTGCCCACAGACACACAGGCCCGCCTATGAATATCAAAAGCCAGTTCTGTAAAGTAATAAGGAGATAACGTCACAGAGTAGGATGAGGTGAAAAACAGCAAAATTCGTAATAAACCCATTTTTTGAATGCAGAGGGAAAACCCTTGTTTTGCACTCCGCAACGTATGTGCAGGTTTATTAATGATATTATCTTGTTTACCTAGCAGAGAGGCAAACTGAACCTTTGCTATGAAATGCTACCTAAAAGAACTGATGTGTTAGGGCACAGTGAGCAGCCTATAAGCATATTGGAGTGCAGTGGCTAATTCTGAGATGTTTTATTGTACACCTCTACTGTCTATAGTGCCTACCTCACTTATAAATTATTTTATGTTAGGAAGCACGGATACTAGCAAAAGTGCATGTAGTGCTCTTAAGCAAGCAGTTAGCCTACAGAAAGAGAGATCTGAGTCAACCTCTACGGTACAGGAGCCAGGTAAGGAAAGCAGTGCTCACCATGTCGGGTCTGAGTCCAATCTAGTTGTCTGGATACTTGAATGTTGTCAGAAGATAATGTATGGATTGCTATTTGAAATCATATTGGTTATCTTTTTAGCCAATACCCTATCTCTGATAGCCAATACCCTTATTGCCAGTAGCTGTTGTCCAATGGTGCAGTAGTATCTTGACCAATGAAGGCCTCAGTAATTTCTTGTGTTATTTAATTAATTTCTGAATGAAAACCTTCTGTTCTGATGGAGTAAAGTGTTATACTTTCCATTGTTGATTTGGCTTTTCGGCTAAGCTCCAGGCCTTATGGGTAGTTTGAAGCACAGTTGTGTAAGTTGGAGATGAATCTTTAATTGCTTGTTTTGGTTTTACTAATTGCCCCCCTCATTTGGTCCTTTGTCAGCAAAGTTTAAAAGTGCTGATTGACCTTCTGCTGTGTGTGTTAATCTACTAAACTAGTAGAACTCAGCATTTCTGCTGCAGTGGACCATCTAGTTTTATGGATGCTTGCCATGGCATGGTGGGTGAATAGATCCACTGCTATTGATCTTCTGTACATCCCCAAAGCCTCAGTTTTACACTGTATACCATAGTCTCATCACTGTTTTCAGAAGTTCTGGATGTCTTACTCCATACATTAGGCAGGCTTCTGTCTAGTAAATCTTTTTCTGCACTCTCAAAACAGTATTTCCTTTTTTTTTTTTTTTTTTTTTTCCTTCTTTTTCTCCTGATGATGGTGATGTCATCTGAGCTACTCTGGCTGTGGCTAGGGGCCCTTTGAATTTTTTTTTTTTTTTTTTTAAACTTTTGTATTACATGATTACCTGCCTGCAGATAAGCTGACTTGGAAGTGCTGGGGTCAGTTCTTGGGCCAGTGCATTGGGCACCTCTGTTTTAAACAGATGTGCTCTTTCTGTATCTGTAATCTTTTTTTCTTATTGGCTCTTCCTACATTTATTCTGCTTGTATATTTTGAAGAGTGTGAGAACTGAACATATTACTCCAAGTGAAGGCATACTTTTGATTTTTATAATGATAAGACCAAAAATAAATATTCTACCCTTTCTTTATATATTGACAAATTATGTGAATATAGTCTGGAGTTTCTAACCAGGTGTTTTTTTTTCCTCCCTCTTTCCCCTTTCATCTAGTATGTATTTTTTTAGAAGCCAGCAGTGTACTTGAAAGCTTAAGTTTTCGCCTTCCAGTGCGTGTTACCTTTCTTCTGTCACTGTTGTCCTGTTGTATCATGGGCAGTTAAAGATAATTAATAGATGAAATGGTCTCAAATAGTTGATCTTCTATTTTTGCTTAGAAAAAAAAAACTATTTTAGATAACATCAAAAGTGAACAACAGTTGTGGACTAGGCACTTCTATGACGTTATTATGAAGTTGTGAAGTTCAGATACTGGAAATAAGCTTTACTTGCTTGAAAGTTCCTTGCATTTCATATTAAAGCCATTAGGAAAGGGAAAGCTTTTAAAACACAGTGATATGCATTCTAAATAGTGTTCAAACGAAATTACAGAATTTCATTAGACTTTATTAGCTAAATGCTGCATTGTTTCACCAGCTTATCAGGCTGATCAGTGATATCTGTAAACTGCTTCTGAACTGAAGAAGTTTGCTTGAGCTTTCAGCAACATCAGAAGTTCAATCAATGGTCATGTAAAAAGTCTTTGTAAACTTTGAAAGTTATTTATTTGCACTCCAGGTTGTTTAATAAACTAGGATAGTCCCTCAATAGTAAGAATAACATGTATTTAGGAAGTCTTTTATTCCAATTTTTTACTGTATCTTTGGTTTCATTTGACTATAAACTGTTTTGTTATAGGAATAGTGGAAAATAATAGCTTGCCAGATAAGATTTCAGAGGACAGTACTGGTAAACTGCAGGAAAAAGCAGAACCAGCACTTGCAGCAAAACAGAAAGGTAAGAAGGAAAATTTGAGCATCTCAGAATCTAACTTGAATCCATGCAGCTGAATGGTTTAAGGAGGATAATTTACATTTAATCCAATTACTCTCCCTGTATTTTAAACATAACTTGCAGTTAATGTCCTGTTTTGAAAAATATATGTTCCCTGATAAAATGGATATCTTACGTTCTTCTCTTCTTATCCTGATCAAAAGAGGCCAGTGGTTACACTGCCCCAGGGAAAATGCAAGCCTGCTGCAAATGAATCTCTTGATGACTTGTTCTGTGTAAGAATTGCATCATTGCAGGTTGCCTTTTTGTTCAAGTATTTGGGAGTCCCACTTAGTGTTTGCATTGTGCAAGATTCTGCAGGCAAATTCCATCCGTCTGTTCTTAGTTCTCCATTTTTTTTAAAGTTGTTTATGAAGCGAAATATTTGCATCCTGCTACATTATACGTGGAGTAATAGAAGCAAGTAAAGGAAGAAGAACAGAGGTTTATGCAGAAAGCTGCATTTTTGTTTTCTCCAGATCCAGATGCTTGACCTAGTTAGAACTGATACCAGGTGTGTGGGAGGTCAAAGGCTTCCCAGTCCACCTGAGGTCTTTAGGGCCTGATAGCTGTATCAGTCTAATGTTATGTAGACAGTTGACCAAGGCATTTGTATGACTCTCTATAGCTAGGAGAACTTCAAGGCCAATTCTTTTTAACCTTTTGGAGCTATCTTGTCTATTGGAATGTATCTGTAATGGAATACAATTTTACATTCCTTTGTTTCTAATCTGAATGTACATAAGAGGAACACCCCGAGGTTCGCTATTGATTTGGGACTGGATTCTCAGGTGGTATTGAAAACCCAATGCATTAATGCTTCAGTAAACCTTAGTTTTCTGTAAGCTCTTACATAAATGCGGTTGTCGTTCACACCTTTGATTTTAAATTCCAACTCTTTGAAAGCAATTGATCTAGAGAGTTGGTGACTGTCGTTGCATATAGCTAAGTCAAATGCATATTTAGGAGTAATTATCATAATTCAGTGGACCTCTCTCTTTTCTTGCAGCTTTCTTCATGCGTCTTTGAAAGATTCTGAAAGAAAAATCATTTATAATATTTAAAACAGTATTTGATGATAGAATATCTGAGTAGATACTGCTGAAGGGATTGAATGAGATATGTAAAAAGGTGCAACAGATGTTTTGAGAGGCAAAGCCGTGCTGTTCTACTTTGAACTACTAAAGCACAGTAAAAAAACGTATTTAAAACAAACTTATTTGCCGGGATCTTATGTAATACTATTTCTGCAATGCATTTCAGTCATATCCTCTGTTTCTGAGCAGGGAAAGCGAGGCTTTGATCCTTTTCATTGTGCCTTTTTTTTTTTTTCTTTTGATATAACTAAGTTGAGGATTTGACCCAATATCACTTATTCTGTCTTAGTATTCTGTATAAGGAATTCTCACTGGCTAGTTCATGGTGATGCCTCCTAAGAAATATATGCTTAAAGCTTTCCAATAAGAGAATGTTGTAGCCTGAGGTCTTTGCTTATAAGAGTGAGCTAATAGATCCTTGAAATTACTTAGGTTCCCCTTTCTTTGTATGCGTGCAATGCGGTGTGTCGCTGCATTTGACCACTGTGCCAAGGAGGGAAGAACACTTCTATTTCACAGTCACTGTGCAAAGTGTAGCTCTTCATGAGACTTTTTCAGAAGCTGATAACTGTTGAATTTTCTAAAAATTGTTAAATTCTAAAAAGAGGTATTGTGTGGGATTTTGCTGGTGCTGTTTTTTTCTTTCCATTTAGGTAATTATGTCGAGGTATGCCTCCCTGGAGGAGTACTGCCTGCTTTCTTTCTTAGTTTACCTTAAAATAACCTTTGGATGTTGTCGCTCGTTCAGTTAAGACATTGCATCCGCTTACCACCCATCTGTAGGGAATCAGCCTATTTAGAAAGTATGGGCATCTTTTCTATCAGCTTGGCACTGAGGCTTGCAGAAGAGTGTCTTAAAAGAAGTCTTCCCAGTCAAGTTCTTTAAGCAGTGTGTGAATGCACGTGCTACCATGAGGGAAGGGAAAGCAAGAAGGCAGGACTACTTTTTTGCTGGTAGCGCCAGTTTATGCTAGCTGAAGTGTTTAAGAAAGTACTGAGACTTTTTAGTTTGTCATTTCCCAGGATCCTAGACTTGCAATCATCGCAAATGCTTAGGCGTTGTGTTGTTTGCCTTAAGTAGGGGTAGGTGTTACCGCTTGGACTCGTGCTTACAGTCCATTTGACGTTAGATTTATACTCCAGCTAACTCCAGCGGAATTAAATGAAAACTGGGTGCTGAAGTTGCTTCGCGAACCTCCTGCAAATCACAAATCGGTGTCTTTCCACAGCAGCTGTGCTTTTGGAGTAAGCTAGTAAGACAGGAATTGGAGCTGGTTCTTTTACAGTGTTTTCAAGGGATTATGGGGTACTTGTGACTATGCAAAAAAAAAAAAGTGTATGGGGGGGAATGAAAAAGAAAATTACATTCTGTGATCTGCTTCTGAATTTCCTTTGGACTTTTCATTTATTTACTGGTGGACTATGTAAATTCTCTTTGAGGAGAGAGCAGACCCTGTGCTTCAGTAGTTCCAAGTAGAACAGCATGGCTTTGTCTCTCAAAACATCTGTTGTACCTTTTTGCACATCTCATTCAATCCCTTCAGATATTCTATCATCAAGAAAACCATTTTGATTACCTGCTGTCTTTTCTCTTTTTTAAAATGCTTCATTTATGATTAGTGTGTTTTGCTTAATTACTAGAACTTTAATATCTTGAGCACTGAAGTGCGAGTTTGTTGAAAAGGCTCTCTAATGTGTTTATCCCTGTTCTCCCAGTCCCAGTAGTAGTTGCCAGGTAACAAGCTGGCTGTAATTCTTGTTATGCTTAATGTCTAATTTGGTCAAATTTTTTATAAAAAATGTATGTAATTCTTCTCTGAAAAAGCAATGTATTTGTTATTTCCAGGTGACTCTGCCAGTGATTCAGGTATTGTAAAATTTATATTGATAAAGACCAGCACAGTGCATATCAGTGATAGTTGAAAACTATCTATTAGAAAAGGTAGTGCTTTTTAGTAAATAAGGCACTTCTGCAGTTTAGTGCTTTTTTTTTTCTTTATGCTATATAGTAAAGAACTTCTAAACTGTAACAAAATGTAATTTGTTGGGTAGACTTTATTCAAACAGTTTTTAGTTAAAAGAATACCAAAAAGCCACCTATGAAAATGCTTTGTACTTTGGGTTAAGTGCTTTTCAAAAAAAAAAAGTAATAGTTCACAAGCGTTTTATGGGTTTTAACTTGAAAATGAGCAGATCCCGCGGAGAACTTCCTGCAAAATATTACAGGTAGTTAATGCAACAGCCAGTTTAATAAAACTTCCTTTTTCCGTGTTCTTAATGTCAGTACAAGATATTATTTCTCTCCTTCTGTTACTTGTTGCGTTAGTGGCTTCTGTTCATATTAAAACTGATCCATGAAACCTTTCCCCACATAGTATGAGCTAGGTAATTAGGCCATTTACAGAGAGTGAATCTGGAAATCTGCTGGGAATCTGAAATACATTAGGTTCATGAAGCTGCTCATACTTTGCTCTGTGCAAGTGTCATGGCATTGTGCTGTGATATCATCGCTTCTTTCAGTGAGGTTTTAGCGTGATTTTTTTTTTTTTTAACGCAGAGTGATTTAATGTTTGAAGGACTCTGACGCTTGAAGGACTCTCTGCAGTTGCTGACTTTGCCTCTTGTGAGCAGTTGTTATGTGAAAGTGTGATGCATGTTGAGACATTGTGAGAGCAAGAAGTCAGCTGAGACCTTGAGTATGCCTCATACTGTCTCAGGAGCTGAATTTCTTCAGCAGTCTGCTCTCCTTGCTTATGGGTAGCTATTTTTTTTGAAAGCAAAAATAGTGATTCTTGAATTGAGTGTGTGTAGAGACAAGAGAAGACGATGCTTTCCACAAAGCTGCAGAAACCTGGCGTGTTTAAGATTAATGACAACTTTGCAGTATGAGAAGTAAAGCTGTACCATGAATAGACTGAATGTAACACACGCATCTGCCAACAAGCTGGCCAACCTAGTAAGGAGGGCTTTAAACTAGGAAAGATGGGGGAAGGAGAGAGATATACAGACCATGCAGTCAGCAAAACAGGGTTCATGTGGGGATACCTCCAGCAATTGCATGCAGCTAAGGAAGTACCTACAAGACAAGACCATGGGGAAACCTCTTGCACCCCTTCTGGGAAATCAGCATTCTCGGATACCTCCCTGAAGTACCGGTACACAAATGCATGCAGCATGGAGAATAAACAGGAGGAATTGGAGATCTGTGTGCAGTCACAGGGCTATGATCTCATTGCGATTATGGAGACATGGTGGGATTGCTCGCATGACTGGAATGCTGCAGTGGATGGCTACGAGCCCTTTGGGAAGGAAAGGCCAAGAAGGTGAGGAGGGGGAGTCACCCTTTATGTGAGAGAGCAACTGGAATGTATTGAGCTATTGGCTAGGGGTGGACGATGAGTGGGTTGAGAGCTTATGGATAAGGTTTAAGAGGGCAGGCTAACATGGGTGACTGTGTTGTAGGTGTTTGCTACACGCCACCTGATCAGGAAGAGGAAGTAGATGAGACCTTCTACAGACAGCTGGAAGTAGCCTCACAATCACAGGCCCTGGTTCTCATGGGGGACCTTAACCACCCTGATATCTGCTGGAGGAACAGCACAGCAAAGCACAAACAATCCAGGAGGTTCCTGGAGAGCACTGATGATAACTTTCTGACACAGGTGATGGAGGAGCCAATGAGGAGAGATGTGCTGCTGGACCTTGTACTAACAAACAAGGAAGGACTAGTTGGAGATGTGAAGGTTGGGAGCAGCCTTGGCTGCAGTGACCGTAAGATGGTGGAGATCAGGATCCTGTGAAGAGGAAGGAGGGCAATAAGTAGGATCACAGCCCTGGACTTCAGAGAGCTAGCTTTGGCTTTGTCAGGGACCTTCTTGGAAGAATCCCATGGGATCAGGCCCTAGAAAGAAGAGGAGTCCAAGAGAGCAAGTTAATATTTAAGGATCACCTCCTCCAAGAACGGTGCATCCCAGTGAGCAAGAAGTTGAGCAAAGGGGGCAGGAGACCTGCACGGATGAACAAGGAGCTCCTGGCAAAATGCAAATATAAGAGGGAAGCGTACAGAAGGTGGAAGCAGGGACAGGCCACTTGGGAGGAATATTAGGGATGTTGTCTGAGTATGCGGGGGACAGGACTGGGAAGGCCAAGGCCCATTTGGAGTTTAATCTGGCAAGGGATGTCAAGGACAACAAGAAGGGCTTCTTTAAATACATCAATAGCAAAAGGAAGACTAGGGAAAATGTGGGCTTGCTGCTGAATGGGGCAGAGGCCCTGGTGATAAAATATATAGAGAAAGCAGGGATACTGAATGGCTTCTTTGCTTCACTCTTTACTGCTAAGACCAGACCTTGGAGACCAGGGAGAAAGTCAAGGGAAGGTTGTCTTTTCTGGTTGCAGGCTGAGGAGGATCGGGTTAGAAATCATTTAAGCAAACTGGGCATATGCAGGTCCATGGGCCCTGATGGCATGCACCCACAAGTGCTGAGGGAGCTGGCTGATGTCATTGCTAGCCTACTCTCAATCATCTGTGAAAGGTTATGGAGATTAGGAGAGGTGCCTGAGGACTGGAAGAAAGCAAATGTTGCTCCAGTCTTCCACAAGGGCAAGAAGAAGGATCCAGGGAACTACAGGCCAGTCAGCCGCACCTCCATCCCTGGAAAGGTGATGGAGCAGCTCGTTCTGGACGCCATCTCCAAGCATGTGAAGGATTAGAAGGTGATCAAGTGTAGTCAGCATGGGTTCACAAAGGGGAAATGAATGCTCAACCAACCTGATAGCCTTCTATGATGGAATGACTGGCTGGATAGATGAGGGGAGAGCAGTGGATGTTGTCTCCCTGGACTTCAGCAAGGCTTTTGACACTGTCTCCCATCACATCCTCCTAGGTAAGCTCAGGAAGTGTGGGTTGGATGAGTGGACAGTGAGGTGGCTTGAGAACTGGCTGGATGGTCGAGCTCAGAGGGTTGTGGTGAATGGCACAGAGTCTAGTTGGAGGCCTGT